AAGAAAGGAGATTCTGACTAAACATCAGGAAGAACTTTCTGACAGTGAGAGCTGTTCAACAGTGGAACGAACTCCCTGGGGAGGTTGTGGATTCTCCTTCCTTGGAGGTTTTTAAGCAGAGGTTGAATCTGTCATGGGTGTTTTAGCTGAGATTCCTGCATTGAAGCGGGTTAGACTAGATGACCCTCAGCGTCCCTTCCAACTCTACAATTCTATGATTCTAAGGCAGCTTCCCAGGTTTCCATGTAATGGAAGCTAGTGTCCAATGACATTAGGGGAGGCAATGTTCTCCTTTTCTGCCCTAATAAAATGGTTGTTGTTGTTGTTTAGTCATTTAGTCATGTCCGACTCTTCGTGACCCCATGGACCAGAGCACGCCAGGCACTCCGGTCTTCCACTGCCTCCTGCAGTTTGGTCAAACTCATGCTGGTAGCTTCGAGAACACTGTCCAACCATCTCGTCCTCTGTCGTCCCCTTCTCCTTGTGCCCTCCATCTTTCCCAACATCAGGGTCTTTTCCAGGGAGTCTTCTCTTCTCATGAGGTGGCCAAAGTATTGGAGCCTCAGCTTCAGGATCTGTCCTTCCAGTGAGCACTCAGGGCTGATTTCCTTAAGAATGGATAGGTTTGATCTTCTTGCAGTCCGTGGGACTCTCAAGAGTCTCCTCCAGCACCATAATTCAAAAGCATCAATTCTTCGGCGATCAGCCTTCTTTATGGTCCCGCTCTCACTTCCATACATCACTACTGGGAAAACCATAGCTTTAACTAGAGGGACCTTTGTTGGCAAGGTGATGTCTCTGCGTGGTTAGCCAACCAAAATGTTCTCAGTAAAGATAGCCAGTTAACAACCTGGCTCCCATGTTCTGCAGCAGCTAACACTTCTGACAGTTTTCCAGTGGTGAACCCACAGGCAGTGCAAACTACAGTAATCTAGGATGGATGTGAACCGTGGCCAATAATTATGGGATTGTAAATATTTATATATTGGCCAGACATAAAATTTCTGATTCAATTTCTCTGCAAGGCATGACCATAAAATATAGCAAATTTGGGACTTACAGCCCAGGGATGATTGTATGTTTCTTTCTTTGCATCCAGCAGGACCTGTCAAGATGAGCGAACAGGAAGGGGACCAAAGTTCCTTTCCCAAATTGCATGAGACACATGTCCTCCTTCTCTCTTTTATGCTTGTGTCAAGTAATTATTGCCAAAAGAGGAGATAACGTAATGAGGGGGAGAATAGATGTGACGCCGGAGAACTTCATATACTGCTTTGACTCAAGAAATGGGATCATCATTTTAATCTGCACTGCGGGGTCCAAAATTGTTGTACATACTCCAAGGCAGTGCCCATTAGTGTCAGTTGCTTGGGATTTGTACAACCTGATCATCCCTGTCTCAGCAGCGCACATCAGAAAGTCAATAATGATGATGATGATGACGATGATGATGATGATATAATTTTATTATTTATACCCCACCCATCTGGCTGGGTTTTCCCAGCCACTCTGGGTGGCTCCCAACAGAATATTAAAAGCACGATAAAACATTGAGCATTAAAAACTTCCCTTTTGACCATTATAGGTGGAGACAGGGATAGGGAAGAAATTTGATTCCGTTCACATTTAAGTGCAAATTTACCAAATTCATCCTTTCCAGAACAATATGAGAACTGAAACTCCACCACATCCTTCAAAGTCTGCATTTCCCCCCAATTTTGCAATGTGGTTCTCCGGCCAAGTAACGTGTATGCATAGATTTGTGCATTAAAATGCATGTGCGAGTGAAAATCGCTTTGCAAAAAAATGTGTATACTGTATCTGACAAAATTGCACACAAGCCTGAGGATAAACATGACACACACAAAGTCCTAAACTGATTTGGAAACGTGGAAAACTGAATTAATTAATAAATAATAATAATAATAATAATAATAATAATAATAATAATGTATTTATACCCCACCCATCTGGCTGGGTTTCCACAGCCACTCTGGGCGGCTTCCAACTGAATATTAAAAACAATACAGCATCAGACATTAAAAACTTCCCTAAACAGAGCTGCCTTCAGTTGTCTTTTAAAAGTAAAATAGTTGTTTATTGCCTTGACATCTGCTTGGAGGATGTTCCACAGGGCAGGCGCCACTACCGAGAAGGCCCTCTGCCTGCTTCCCTGTAACCTCACTTCTTGCAACAAGGGAACCGCCAGAAGGCCCTCAGCGCTGGACCTCAGTGTCCGGGCTGGATGATGGGGGTGGAGACGCTTCTTCAGGTATACAGGACTGAGACCGTTTAGGGCTTTAAATTTAAGGATGGAAAAATGAGAAAATGGGAGAAGTTCTCCCATTCCTAACTGGAGATGCCAAAGATTGAACCCAGCACATTCTGTTTGCAAACCATGTGCTCTTCCTCTAAGTCGCACCTCCCCTTCCCCCTCTCCCATTCATCTCTGGGGACCATATTACATTTTTTACCACTTGCCCCACCACTCAGAGCACCAGATGCTGGCCGCAAATTGCATCTCCATAATTGATATTTTCTTTTCATCTCTGAAAATTCCCCACTCCTATGCTCCGACATCTTCAGAGTACAAAATGATGTTTCCACACACACACACACACCCGACATTTGTTGAAAACGGCAGTGTGCAAACCAGCCGCACTCCAACCTTTACAGACGGAATTGTTTGCTTACATAGAAAGCAGTACTGTAATTACTCGGGGCTTGCATTATATATCAAGGTCAAAACTCTGTGATTCAAGCCATTGTTTAGGGACAAAAGGGAGTTGTTTTTCTGGCACAGCGGCAGACAGTACTGTAGCAACAAAGTTAACATGGACCCGATACCGTTTTTTTCTTTCTTGGCTAACTCCAGTTCAGCGTTGCCAAGAAAGCAAGCTGCTCAGTATTAGAGAGGACAGTAACGAAAGCATTTCCTCTATCGCCGATGCTCAGGCTCCGAGGGCCTTTGCTTACGTGGCCAAAAGCCCACTTTCTGCACACAAGAGCAAGTTTGGGGGGCCCCTGGGATTTGCAGAAGTACAACTGTCTTAAAGGAAGGGGAAACTGAGAGCAGAGGACCCCCAACAACAGCTGAATGAGGAGTGAGGCTGTGTATAATGGTTTGAAAGGCAGCTAGATTGTTTGCACCCTCCTCAGTTCAGACTGAGGTTGGTTTGGAGGAAAACGCATCCAAAGACAGGATTTCATAAGCAACACTAGGATGAATACAGGCGGTCTTGACTATGCTACCACTCAGTGGATTTGTAACTGGCTGACTGACCGAACCCAAAGGGTGCTCATCAATGGTTCCTCTTCATCCTGGAGAAGAGTGACTAGTGGGGTGCCACAGGGTTCTGTCTTGGGCCCGGTCTTATTCAACATCTTTATCAACGACTTGGATGATGGACTCAAGGGCATCCTGATCAAATTTGAAGATGACACCAAATTGGGAGGGGTGGCTAACACCCCAGAGGACAGGATCACACTTCAAAATGACCTTGACAGATTAGAGAACTGGGCCAAAACAAACAAGATGAATTTGAACAGGGAGAAATGTAAAGTATTGCACTTGGGCAAAAAAATGAGAGGCACAAATACAAGATGGGGGACACCTGGCTTGAGAGCAGTACATGTGAAAAGGATCTAGGAGTCTTGGTTGACCACAAACTTGACATGAGACAACAGTGTGATGCAGCAGCTAAAACAGCCAATGCAATTCTGGGCTGCATCAATAGGAGTATAGCATCTAGATCAAGGGAAGTAATAGTGCCACTGTATTCTGCTCTGGTCAGACCTCACCTGGAGTACTGTGTCCAGTTCTGGGCACCACAGTTCAAGAAGGACATTGACAAACTGGAACGTGTCCAGAGGAGGGCAACCAAAATGGTCAAAGGCCTGGAAACGATGCCTTATGAGGAACGGCTAAGGGAGCTGGGCATGTTTAGCCTGGAGAAGAGGAGGTTAAGGGCTGATATGATAGCCATGTTCAAATATATAAAAGGATGTCACATAGAGGAGGGAGAAAGGTTGTTTTCTGCTGCTCCAGAGAAGCGGACACGGAGCAATGGATCCAAACTACAAGAAAGAAGATTCCACCTAAACATTAGGAAGAACTTCCTGGCAGTAAGAGCTGTTCGACAGTGGAATTTGCTGCCAAGGAGTGTGGTGGAGTCTCCTTCTTTGGAGGTCTTTAAGCAGAGGCTTGACAACCATATGTCAGGAGTGCTCTGATGGTGTTTCCTGCTTGGCAGGGGGTTGGACTCGATGGCCTTTGTGGTCTCTTCCAACTCTATGATTCTATGATTCTATGATTCTATGATTTCAAAGGGGCTGAAATTTAAAAAAAGAAAAAACTGTAAAGCACAGATTCAATGAAACAGTAATGAGCAACATCTAAACAGGGACTGGGAATTTGTGGCCCTCCGAATGCTGATAGACTACAATTCCCATCATGCTCAGCATTTGGCCACGATGGCTGGGGCTGATGGGATTTGGAGTCTTAACAACATCAGAATTGGGCATAGACTCCTTACCCCATACGGTGGTACCTCGGGTTACAGACGCTTCCGCTTACAGATGCTTCAGGTTACAGACTCTGCTAACCCAGAAATAGTACCTCGGGTTGAGAACTTTGCTTCAGGATGAGAACAGAAATCGCGTGGCGGCGGCAGCGGGAGGCCCCATTAGCTAAAGTGGTACCTCAGCTAAAGAACAGCTTCAGGTTAAGAACGGACCTCCAGAACGAATTAAGTTCTTAACCCGAGGTACCACTGTATCTGAGAAAGTTCATACAATCTCTGCAAATGAACACAACAGTTAATAACACAGCTGGCCCCCTCTAGACACCCTTTTTATTGTTTATTTGTGATTTAAAATGTTTGACGCTTTACTATGCTTTTATATGTGCTGCAAGGCATATGGGTGCTGAAACCCAGGCAGATGTGTGGGGTATAAATAATAAAATTATTATTATTATTATTATTACTACTACTACTACTACTCACAAGTTAGCTCAGTTGGTTAGAGCATGGTGCTGATAACGCCAAGGTTGCAAGTTGTTCAGATGTTCTAGTGTGTATGTGTGTGTCTTGCTCCCATGCTACAGTGAAAGGATGCCCCAAGGTTACTAAGTTTCTTCTCCAATAACACCTGGAAGGCAAGAGATTGCTGATCCCTGAAGAAGAAGAAGAGTTTGGACTTGATATCTCGCCTTTCACTCTCCTTAAGGAGTCTCAAAGCGGCCAACAATCTCCTTTTCCCTTCCTTCTCCACAACAAACACTCTGTGAGGTGAGTGAGGCTGAGAGACTTCAGAGAAGTGTGACTAGCCCAAGGTCACCCAGCAGCTGCATGTGGAAGAGCGGAGACGCGAACCCGGTTCCCCAGATTACGAGACTACCGCTCTTAACCACTACACCAATATTCAGAGGGGTCCCTGAATATTCCACACAGAGACGTTTGGTCATTGCAGCTGAATGAAGAGTAATAGAACACTTGAATAAGGCCTTGGACCAGATGTCTAGGCAGTTACAGATTATAAAGATGTCAAAGAATAGGCGATTGATGCAACCAGTTCTACTAAGATAGCAGTCTCTGAACTCATGGTAACCTCTGGTTTGCTCACATGCTCAAGGGGTGAATCAGAGGACAAGGTAATCAAAAAAAAGAGTCGGCAACTTGACAGTCCTACTGTAAGGGGAAGAAAGAATTTGCCTGTCTGAGGTTTGAGGGATGGTGTGCAGAAACCTTCACAAAAAATCCCTTTGGCATCACTCAGATTCCTTCCGGTGAGGATTTCCCTTTCTGAAGTAAGGAAAAACTGAGAGCAGAGGACCCCCAACAACAGCTGAATGAGGAGTGGGGCTGTTTATAATGGTTTGAAAGGCAGCTAGATTGTTTGCACCCTCCTCAATTCAGATTGAGGTTGGTTTGGAGGAAAACGCAGCAGTCTGATTGGTCCTAGAACAATAGGATTCAGAATGCAGCAGTCTGATTGGTCCTAGAACAATAGGATTCAGAATGCAGCAGTCTGATTGGTCCGCAGGAGCCACCCAATCCAACTCCAGGTGGAAGTGAATCCGCAACCTGATTGGCTTACAGGTGAATCCCAGAATCAGCCAATCACGTGGGGTCCATTGTGTAAATAATGTATATAAAGCAGACATTTTGGGGGAACTTCCATTCCTCCTCACTACTATGAGCTGAATAAAGAGCATGAAAGCCACACTCGACTCCGAGTATATTTCAGAAAATTTAATAAAAATGATATATATAGAACATCCAAGGACAAGACTGGAACATGACAGGCAAGGCTACCAATAGCTGCTATATTGTTTCTACTATCAGAGCAATCTGTTGGCCAGCATAAGCAGCAGCCAGGGCTGATGGGTTCTGTAGTCCAGCCACATCTGGAGGGCCTCACATTTCCCCAGCCCTGCTACAAATGAGTGATTCATCTAGAAGTAAGAGCTCCAGGATAACAGCCTCCGAGTTTTGATTGCGTAACTGAGCACTTAAATCATGCGCCCTATATTTTGAGAATAAAGCTGCAAGCCAATTAAAAGCTTCTGAACTGACGGAACGCCTTGCCTGACAGCCAATTAATTGCTTACTCATCCAATTAAAATAATTATAAGAACGGCATCGATGCAGAGGATGTCTAGAGATTAGCGGATGAAGATAATGGTTTTCTCCTTTATCGGCAGAACGCAGAGAAGGCATCTGTTCGGTAGAACACCTGAGATCCATTGCCTGAACAAAGAGATGTCAGTGGATTGCTTTTAATAACAGTAATAATTCTTTTAGCACCGAACACCCTTTCCCTGGGGATTTCATTAAAACTGTGTTTTAAAATCCACATTTTACAATCTCTGATGAATAGATTTAACCAACTAAGGCTTTTAGTGCTGAATTAAAGTGAAAGTCTCCACCCTTTCCCTTGAAACATACAATTATGATAATCAACGAAGATGCAGAAATATGTTCAAGTATCCTATTAGCACTGTAACCTTTCTGCAAAGAACTCAGCATGAGAGAACTTGACTTATCCCTTTTTATACGTACAACAATCCTGTAAAGCAAAGATTGGGAGTCTGAGGGAGTCTCTGTGTTCTCACATACTCCAGTTAATTCGTTGGTTCCTGGTGTGCTGCAGAAGTTTGTCATTACAACTGAACCAGAAAACTGCTGGACTTGATTGAAAGCCAGCCGCAAATATAGTTTGGAAGACTAGAGCAAACCATAGTTTTCAGTTCAGATGTACCATCAAACCCAGAAGTAGGGAATTCATCAGAGCATGCCAGGAGAGAGTAGAACTTATTGAGTATAGGGATGACATGAGCACAGGACTCGTTCTCGTTGTGCCAAATTATGGTCTCACATTATCAACTCTGTGGCTACCACTGCTTCCAATCTATCATCTGGAAACCCACTTCAAACCATAATTCCAGTTTCAAGATTGGGAAACCAAACACTGACGCCAGAACTGGCAAACTGTGGTTTGCTGGGCCTCAGTCATCTATGTTTCAGGAACTTTCAGGTTAGACTACTGCAATGTACTCAACTGATCTTGGGACTGATTTTGAAGACCATCTGAAAGCTTTAATTAGTGGCACAATGCAGCTGCCAGACTTTTGACCAGAGCTAGACGATCAGATAACATTAGAGTGATTTTGTTTCCACTTTGCTGACCACTAAATTGTTTCTGGGCTTTGTTCAAGGTATTAGTTTTGGCCTCTAAATCCATAAACAGCCTGGGACAAGAGTATCTCAAGAATTGTCTTCCTTCAAAGGAGCCTTCTCTGGCAGCTTTGTTTATCATTTGAGGTCCTGCATCAGGTCCCTTCAACTTTCAGAAATATGGTGTGTCCTCAGGGCCTTTTTAGTCATGGCACCCATGCTATGCCTCCTGCTCATTGCTCACTTTGGACAGGCTGCAAAGACTGTTGCATTTTGAAGGCTCCTTTTGTTGCTTCCGGAGGCACCAATCCTACACACCTTTTCCTGGGAATAATCTCCATTGAACACAATGGGACTTACTTTTTAGTACACATACATGCGACACTTTTAGATTTGTCATTGGTTTTATGGGTATCTGATTTTTAGTATTCTGTATTGATTTGTTTTTTCATTTTAAAGTACTTTAAAGAAAGGTGGAGTATAAATTTGTCAGACAGAGGCAGTAAATACTGCTGCAATAATATCTGCTTACCTGGGAGTAAGGTCACTCAATAGGAACCCTTGAACTCAGTAGGACTAAGTCTTTATTGAACTCAGTAAGACACACAAAGGATTACACTGTACATCAGGCATGGCCAAACTTGGCCCTGCAGCTGTTTTGGGACTACAACTCCCATCATCCCTAGCTAACAGGACCAGTGGTCAGGGATGATGGGAACTGTAGTACCAAAACAGCTGGAGGGCCAAGTTTGGCCATGCATGCTGTACATAAATGTGATTAGGGGAAAAAACCAAAGGAAAAAACACACTTGAGAGGGGACAGAGGGAGAAATGAGAGAACCTTTCATGTGGTCCTGCTGAGTCTTTAAAACAAGGATGGAGAAACTGAGGCCCTCCAGATATTCGTTGGACTCCAACTCCCATCATCCCTGACATTGGCCATGTCAGCTTTGGCTGATGGGAGTTGTAGTTCAACAAACATCTGGAAGCCCACAAATATTATCCACCGCTGCTCTGCAACATCATGGCTTCTTTTAGAAATCCTGAGCTTCCTTTACAGAATGACAGTTGCCAGGGAGTCAGAATGATTGTCCAACTGGGCAGTCTCTAGGAGCTAAAAGCTGTGTGTACACATTTAGCAGCATAAAACTCAGCCAGGTTGTTCTTTCTCTCTGTTGAGAGTCATAGAATCGTAGAATTGGAAGGGAACCCGAGGATCATCTGGTCCAACTCCCTGCAATGCAGGAACCTTTTGCCCAACGTTTCCAAGCACAGTTCAAAGTCTTAGTGCTGACTTTTAAAGCCCTAAACGGCCTTGGCCCAGTATACCTGAAGGAGCGTCTCCACCCCCATCGTTCTGCCCGGACACTGAGGTCCAGCGCCGAGGGCCTTCTGGCGGTTCCCTCACTGTGAGAATCCAAGTTACAGGGAACCAGGAAGAGGGCCTTCTCAGTAGTGGCGCCCACCCTGTGGAACGCCCTCCCACCAGATATCAAAGAGAAGAACAACTACCAGACTTTTAGAAGACATCTGAAGGCAGCCCTCTTTAGGGAAGCTTTTAATGTTTAACAGACTACTGTATTTTAATACTTTGTTGGAAGCCGCCCAGAGTGGCTGGGGAAACCCAGCCAGATGGGCGGGGTATAAAAAATATATTATTATTATTATTATTATTATTATTATTACGTGGGGCTCGAACCCATGACTTCGAGATTGAAAGGTGTACACACTACCAACCGACCTATCCCTCAGGGGTTGAAGGTGCTTTGACAGTGGAAGCATCAAAACACAGCATTTCATCATAAGCGCCAAGGTAGATACAGGATAGATATGGATTGTGGCCAATGTCCTGGGTACCCTGTTTACCAAATCAGTGGTGGGAGCACACGGGATGCACATTAAACAGGAGTGTGTACGCAGCTTCAGTCTGTAGTAATTCCCCAACCCGCTCGCTTCTGGGCATCATTTTTCTTCATACATTCTTAAGTGTGAAGCGGTCATAATTTAAGCGATTGCTACCATGTTGAGAAGAAAATTGCTGTGTCAACTACAATAGAACAAGTCTAATTGTTTGCTTCAGAGTAACTTTTATGTCAAACTGCTTGGCAGCGATTTCTGTTGCAGTTGCATTCCTGACGCTTTCGGTCCTGTTCCTGCTTGTTCATTTATAAAAGGGGAGATTTGACAAGGGTACGTTGTATGTGTGCTTGTTTGTTTGTTCTTCTTTATATCTTCTGTTTCCTTTTAATTACTTTGCCCCTCTTGTTTTATTTTTTTCCCTTATTTGTGTAGGTAACGTTCTTGTGGTGACAGATGAGACATGAGATCTTCAGCCTCCCGGCTCTCCAGCTTTTCCTCTAGGGATTCATTATGGAACCGGTAAGAAAACAAGGGGACGGGAAAAGCCAAGCTGATTCCTTTTCCTTTCTTTTTTTAACATCCCACTAGACTTGTAAAAGTGCTTTGCAGTCCTAACAAGTCTCCCTAAATCCCTGCAAATTTGTTAATTATCACACCCATTTTACAGACAGCAAGTTGAGGCATAATGACCAGCTTGCAAACACAACCCCACTCCCCTATGATGTGTTTTGCACTCCAGTATGAATGAGCCAAGGAGATAAATAACTATACAACTTTTAGAAGACATCTGAAAGCAGCCCTGTATAGGGGAGTGTGTTTTTAATGTTTAATGTCTTATTGTGTTTTTATATATGTTGGAAGCCACCTAGAGTGGCTGGGGCAACTCAGTCAGATGAGTGGGGTATAAATATTCAAATCATTACCATCATCACCATCATCATAATCACCATCATTCTTGAATAGGACATCCCTATTTTCATCGGATAAATGTTGGAGGGCACGAGTTTAATTCGCTGGTGTAAGAATGCCCCATTCATTAAACCTTTGCAAATTGTACACATTCCTTATCAGAACACAGTCAATGTGAAACATTCTTGAGAATGTCACAAGACGGAGGTTTGTCAAGCCTGTTCTCTCCTCCCCTTCCAATCTTGGAGAATGCAGAACGGCCCACCATAGCCTTAATAAGCTTTTGTGTTCATTCTCTGAATGGCGTGTGCCCACCCTGAGTCCTAATTTAAAGTCTGTTGTGTACTTGGTGAAAGTCACTTGAGCGACAACCCGCTTAACGTGGGTGTCGCAAACTGACACCCCCTAACAACAAACAAAAAAGAACTGTAAGGTTGTGATGGGAATTCCTATGGATTCAAGTGTGAATTTAGGATGTTTGAGATTAGGGGGCCTTTAAAAGCCAAAACCACTGCCAAAATGTAAAATCAGCACCTTCTGCCCCTAGCATCAAACGCACAAACCTTTAACCTGTTATCATATAGAATGGTAAAAAGAAACAACATCCCACAGAGTTAAAAGGGATGTGGGTGGCACTGTGGGTTAAACCACAGAGTCTAGGACTTGCCGATCAGAAGGTCAGCGGTTCGAATCCCCACGACGGGGGGAGCTCCCATTGCCCTGCTCCTGCCAACCTAGCAGTTCAAAAGCACGTCAAAGTGCAAATAGATAAATAGGTGCCGCTCTGGCAGGAAGGTAAATGGTGTTTCTGTGCGCTGCTCTGGTTCACCGGAAGTGGCTTAGTCATGCTGGCCACATGGCCCGGAAGCTGTATGCCGGCTCCCTTGGCCAATAAAGCGAGATGAGCGCTGCAACCCCAGAGTCGGCCACAACTGGACCTAATGGTCAGGGGTCCCTTTACCTTACCACAGAGTTAGCATACCCTCCAACTCCCTGTTTTGACGGGATGTTCCTGGAATTACAGAAGCCATCCCAGTACGTTTCCGAGCACAATTCAAAGTGTTGGCGCTGACCTTTAAAGCCCTAAACAGCCTCAGCCCAGTATACCTGAAGGAGTGTCTCCACCCCTATCGTTCAGCCTGGACACTGAGGTCCAGCTCGGAGGGCCTTCTGGCAGTTCCCTCCCTGTTAGAAGTGAAGCTACAGGGAACCAGGCAGAGGGCCTTCTTGGTAGTGGCACCCGCCCTGTGGAACTCCCTCTCATCAGATGTCATGGAAATAAACAACTACCTGGCTTTTAGAAGACATCTGAAAGCAGCCCTGTTTAGGGAAGTTTTTAATGTTTGATCTTTTATCGTCTTTCTAATATTCTGTTGGGAGCTGCCCAGAGTGGCTGGGGAAATCCAGCCAGATGTGCGGGGTATAAATAATAAGTTGTTGTTCTTGTTGTTCTTGTTGTTGTTGTTCTTGTTGTTGTTGTCCTGGTTTCTGATTTGATCCCAAAATGCTCCAGGATGAATCGGTACTTGCAGATGACCCTGGAGCTTGTAATGGTGTCGCACTCTCACGTGAGCCAGCTAACTTGGGTGAGAGCGTGGCACTGAAAGACACGCTTTTTTGGTGGTGCACTCTTGCGTCCCGATTTTCATCTGTGGAATTTTGGAAGGTATGGGTTTGGCTCTCTGCTGGGCTGGGCAACCAGAGAAAAATGTATCTCTAGCCAAGGGTGAGCAGCCGCAGGCCTCTGGGTCAGATTTTCAGGGATCTCCTAAGGACACACCCCTTGCTGGTACTGCTTTACACACTCCTGGAGTGTTTCGGCCTGGCTGGAAATTCCCCTTGCTTCTCAGGATGGAGGGTTAGGGAGAGTCATGTAGGTTGATGTACATACCCTCCAACATTTCTCCAATGAAAATTTTGTTGTTGTTGTTTAGTCATTTAGTCGTGTCTGACTCTTCGTGACCCCATGGACCAGAGCACGCCAGGCACTCCTGTCTTCCACTGCCTCCCGCAGTTTGGTCAAACTCATGCTGGTAGCTTCGAGAACACTGTCCAACCATCTCATCCTCTGTCGTCCCCTTCTCCTTGTGCCCTCCATCTTTCCCAACATCAGGGTCTTTTCCAGGGAGTCTTCTCTTCTCATGAGGTGGCCAAAGTCTTGGAGCCTCAGCTTCACGATCTGTCCTTCCAGTGAGCACTCAGGGCTGATTTCCTTAAGAATGGAGAGGTTTGATCTTCTTGCAGTCCGTGGGACTCTCAAGAGTCTCCTCCAGCACCATAATTCAAAAGCATCAATTCTTTGGCGATCAGCCTTCTTTATGGTCCAGCTCTCACTTCCATACATCACTACTGGGAAAACCATAGCTTTAACTAGAGGGACCTTTGTTGGCAAGGTGATGTCTCTGCTTGGTTAGCCAACCGAAATGTTCTCAGTAAAGATAGCCAGGTCTCACTTCCGTACATCACTACTGGGAAAACCATTCCATTATGGTTATGATTATTCACAGCCCATCTGACTGGGTTGCCCCAGCCACTTTAGGTAGCTTCCAACATATGTATATATAAAACACAATAAAACATTAAACACTGGAGGTAGGATGGCCGTCTGTCATGGATGCTTTATCTAAGATTCCTGCATTGCAGGGAGTTGGACTAGATGACCATTGGGTCCCTTCCAAGTCTATGGTTTTATGATTCCATATTTAAAGAACTTCCTTATGCAGGGCTGCCTTCGGGTGTCTTCTAAAGGTTGTGTAGTTACTTATCTCCTTGCCTCAGGGGTCACGTAACTCCATACCCCCCCCCCATATTCTCCAGTGAAAACAGGGACGTCCTAAGGACATTCTGGGATCAAATCAGAAACTGGGGTGGCTTCTGTAAATATGGGACTGTCGCTGGAAAACAGGGGCACTTGGAGGGTCTGGATGTTGAACCAGCTCACTCTACTAATGGGAAGTGTGGCCTGGCATAGCTAGCCCAAACCACGATTTGCAAACCCAGTTCATGCTATGGGTTTTATTCTGGTCTGCCAGCTGATCGCAAATTCTCTTCTTTGGTAATCACTCGTAGCCGAGTAAGATTGTCTTCCATAAACACGGTTTTAACAATGAGTCCGTAAGTGACTGTGGAGGCCAATTCTGGATCCAAATGTCCTTCCACAGTGGGGACATTGGTTTCCGGGTGGGAGCTGATCACGGTGTGGATTTGCCAGGCGTGCCTTCCTCCTAGCACATTTCTCCCTTGTGTCCTGAGTTTGAGTGTCTTCAAAGCCCATGACACCTTTGGTAAACGTTGTTCTCCTATCAGAGCACTCGCAGGCCAGTGTTTCCCAGTTGTTGGTGTTTATAGTACATTTTTAAAAGATTTGCCTTGAGAGAGTCTTTAAACCTCTTTTGTTGACCACCAGCATTACACTTTCCATTCTTAAGTTCGGAATAGAGTAGTTGCTTTGGAAGACGATCATCAGGCACCCACACAACATGACCAGTCCAAATTATTGTCTATCAGTGCAGACACCATGCCAAAAGTATTGCTTAACCTTGCTTGGACGCGATGTCTGTGCTAAGCCATCACATCTGGTCCTCAAGAAGTGACTCTCCTCCCACTGAGGTCCTGAAGCAGCAATCTTTTATATCAAAGCAAACAAACAAGGCCATTAATTGGTGTTTCATTGCTTGGGGTGTATGATCTGGATACTTTCCCGGATACAGATGGGCGATAAATGAGACTGAAAATATTGAAATATTTGCAATATGGCTTGATGAGCTGTCTTGGTTGTTTTTCCTGCAGAATCCTCATATACCAGCTGCTTTTCAGCCTGCCAATTATTGCAATATCCTTCGTGGCTTCGTGTGTTGAACAGTAATACATTACTAGCTCTCTCTCTCTCTTTTTAATTAAAACGAGTGAGCTGCCCAGGCTCCGGAGAATGTTACTTAAGATATTCATTAACTAATCCCCCGTGTTAACATAGGTACTCTTGACAGTTCCTCCAAAAGCCTTGGTTCGGATATTCATAGAAGCAGGTGTGGGGAGCCTTTTGTCTGAACTACAGCTCCTGTCATTCCTGGCCATTGGCCATACTTGCTAGAGCTGATGGGAGTTGTAGTTCAGCAAACACCTGCAGGGCCAAAGGCTCCCCATACCTGGTAGAAGGAAGGAAGGAATCCATAGAATCATAGAGGGGACCCCAGGTTTTATCTAATCCAACTCCCTGCAATGCAGGAATATGGAACTGTTCCGTACAGGGATCGAACCTGCAACCTTGGCGTTATCAGCACCACGCTCTAACCAACTGAGTTAGGGCATCCTGATCAAATTAGGGCATCCTGATCAAATTTGCAGATGACACCAAACTGGGAGGGGTGGCTAACACCCCAGAGGACAGGATCACACTTCAAAACGACCTTGACAGATTAGAGAACTGGGCCAAAACAAACAAGATGAATTTTAACAGGGAAAAATGTAAAGTATTGCACTTGGGCAAAAAACATGAGAGGCACAAATACAAGATGGGGGACACCTGGCTTGAGAGCAGTACATGTGAAAAGGATCTAGGAGTCTTGGTTGACCACAAACTTGACATGAGCCAACAGTGTGACGCGGCAGCTAAAAAGCCAATGCAATTCTGGGCTGCATCAATAGGAGTATAGCATCTAGATCAAGGGAAGTAATAGTGCCACTGTATTCTGCTCTGGTCAGACCTCACCTGGAGTACTGTGTCCAGTTCTGGGCACCACAGTTCAAGAAGGACACTGACAAACTGGAACGTGTCCAGAGGAGGGCAACCAAAATGGTCAAAGGCCTGGAAACGATGCCTTATGAGGAACGGCTAAGGGAGCTGGGCATGTTTAGCCTGGAGAAGAGGAGGTTAAGGGGTGATATGATAGCCATGTTCAAATATATAAAAGGATGTCACATAGAGGAGGGAGAAAGGTTGTTTTCTGCTGCTCCAGAGAAGCGGACACGGAGCAATGGATCCAAACTACAAGAAAGAAGATTCCACCTAAACATTAGGAAGAACTTCCTGACAGTAAGAGCTGTTCGACAGTGGAATTTGCTGCCAAGGAGTGTGGTGGAGTCTCCTTCTTTGGAGGTCTTTAAGCAGAGGCTTGACAACCATATGTCAGGAGTGCTCTGATGGTGTTTCCTGCTCGGCAGGGGGTTGGACTCGATGGCCCTTGTGGTCTCTTCCAACTCTAGGATTCTATGATTCTATGATTCTATGATTCTATGAGTTATCTCCACCATATTGTATATAGTTGCATCGTGTGTGTGTGTTTTCTTGCATGAGCGGAATAGCAGCACTCGATACAGCCCATAATCTGGCAACACTGCCTGTTCGTCCTCCCCACTTCTCCTCTTATCAACAAGGGTTATTTTGTGCATTACAGTCTCACCATGCACCATGAAAGTTGCTATTATTGTTGCTCCCTCTATTACTGCTTATTATTATTATTATTATTTATTATTCCCTTTCCACTGCCCAAGGCCCTTGGGGACAAGGAGCCATGATCAACGGCTGAAAACTCACCCTGCACTGTTCCATCTTTTCCTTCCCCAAGCACATTCCCTCTCCCCCGATGTTCCGGCATTTGTTTCCGATTTGCTGTGCTCTCGGTTTCCTTTCCGGATACCAAGGTTCCAAAGAGCCAGCCTTACTGCTGATTGTTCTCCCCGCGAGGCTGGCATGCCACAATGCGTTTGTCAGCGGGGCTGGCTCTCGCATGACAACATCAAAACACAAAGGCAAAACTGAATCAGCAGATCAGTCAGCTTTATCACATGCAGAGCTCGGAGCTTGGCTTCCTTTCCCGGATCGCTTGTTGTTGTTGTTGGGTTTCTTGTTGTTGTTTTTTGTCGTCGGTGGAGAGCAGTCCATGGAACAACACTTACTGTCAGAAATTTCTTCCTAATACACACATAAACACACACACAAACATATGTATATACACACACTACATTTACAAGCATATATAAATGCAGTCTATTTCTATATTTACATTACAGTGGTATCTCGGGTTAAGAACTCAATTCATTCTGGAGGTCTGTTCTTAACCTGAAACTGTTCTTAACCTGAAGCACCACTTTAGCTAATGGGGCTTCCCGCTGCCACCGGAGCACGATTTCTGTTCTCATTTTGAAGCAAAGTTCTTATCCCGAGGTACTATTTCTGGGTTAGCGGAGTCTGTAACCTGAAGCATATGTAACCTGAAGCGTATGTAACCTGAGGTACCATTGTAATAATATTAATTTATTATTATTTATACCCCAGCCACTCTGGGCAGCTCCCAACAGAATACTAAAAACACCATAAAACATTAAAAACTTCCCTAAACAGGGCTGCCTTCAGATGTCTTCTAAAAGTCAGATAGTTGTTTATTTCCTTGACATCTGATGGGAGGGCGTTCCACAGGGCGGGCGCCAATATCGAGAAGGCCCTCTGCCTGCTTCCCTGTAACTTGACTTCTCGCAGTGAGGGAAATGCCAGAAGGCCCTTGGAGCTGGACCTTAGTGTCTGGGCTGAACGATGGGGGTGGAGACGCTCCTTCAGGTATACTGGGCTGAGGCCGTTTAGGGCTTTAAAGGTCAGCACCAACACTTGTGCTCAGAAATGTACTGGGAGCCAATGTAGGTCTTTCAAGACCGGTGTTATATGGTCTCAGCGGCCGCTCCCAGTCACCAGTCTAGCTGCCACATTCTGGATTAGTTGTAGTTTCCGGGTCACCTTCAAAGGTAGCCCCACGTAGAGCGCATTGCAGTAGTCCAAGCGGGAGATAACTAGAGCATGCACCACTCCGGCGAGATAGTCTGCAGGCAGGTAAGGTCTCAGTCAGCGTACCAGATGGAGCTGGCAAACAGCCGCCGTGGACACAGAATTAACCTGCGCCTCCATGGACAGCTGTGAGTCCAAAATGACTCCCAGGCTGCACATTTGGTCTTCAGGGGCACAGTTACCCCATTCAGGACCAGGGAGTCCCCCACACCTGCCCATACCCTGTCCCCACAAAACAGTACTTCTGTCTTGTCAGGATTCAACCTCAATCTGTTAGATATGTAATGATGGCTCAGTCTGCCTCCTTGCACCTTTGCTCCTTGCAGACTTTGCCCTTCCTCGGCCCTCTGACTCAGAGACTTCTAGTGCCTCTGATCACCCCTAGCAGCTGTTTAGCAAGGAGTCTCCGTCCCCACCCTCAAACTGGCATTTCAAAGAGTTAGCATTAGCGAAATGTCATGTATCGTGGGGAAAAACAATGGCCTCCTTCTGCAGACCTCCTCCTTTGCGTTCACGTTAAATGGGCCTTTCATTCACGGTCCCGCTTTACGACTCGAACACTCCCAATTTGGCACTTGGCAGTTTCCGAAATAGCATGCCCGTTTCCCTGCATCTGATTGTTACGTCCCAAACCGCCCCCCCCTCCACTCCCTGTTCCACCACCTCGGCTCACCCCACCACCACCACTTCCCTGTCCCCTGCAGATCAGTGCTTTAAATATCAAATCAGCTGGTGGGTGTATCTAAAATAGGCACACGCCGAGAAAAAGAAAGTTGGGGGTGTTGTTTCTGTGGCTCATGCTAAGGCACGGCTGGAGACTATTTCTTACCAATACATGGCAGGCGCAGAGAGCGCTCAGCCAACCTCAGGGGCTGCATCACAACGGGGGTGTCATGCGTTAGTGCAGGGGTGGGTCGCGTGCTGCCTGAGGGCTGTGCATGGGTTAATTTCAAGCAGTTGGGGGGACAGGGGGAGAGAAGGAAGGGAGGAAGGTGGAAATGTTTTTTGGGGAGGAAGCCAGAACAGATGGAAGGGTGGAAAGATGCGTGGAGGAAAGCCCTCTGAAAGGGACTAGCTCACAGCTCTGGGCAAGAATAATCTGTCCTTTACCCCTGGCATCCCACAGGGTAGAAAAGAAGAGGAGGGGGAAGAGAGAAGAGACTGGCTGAAAGAGCATGGTGGCAGGGAAAAATAAAGGTAAAGGGACCCCTGACCATTAGGTCCAGTCGTGGCCGACTCTGGGGTTGCGGAGCTCATCTCGCTTAATTGGCCAAGGGAGCTGGCGTACAGCTTCCAGGTCATGTGGCCGGCATGACTAAACCATTTCTAGAGAACCAGAGCTGCGCATGGAAACGCTGTTTACCTTCCCACCGGAGTGGTACCTATTTATCTACTTGCACTTTGACGTGCTTTCGAACTGCTAGCTTGGCAGGAGCAGGGACCGAGCAACGGGAGCTCACCACGTCGCAGGGATTCAAACCGCTGACCTTCTGATCGGCAAGTCCTAGGCTCTGTGGTTTAACCCACAGCGCCACCCGCGTCCCGGCAGGAAAAAATACCAAGCCCTATTTGGTTTTGGATTTTTCCTGACCTGTCAGCATGTGTAAACCCTCCAAGTCTCCCTATTTTCCAGGGACAGTTCCTGATTTACAGAAACCGTCTTGGTTTCTGATTTGATCCCAGAATGTCCTGCTTTTCCTTAGGGCGCCCCTGTTTCCATCAGAGAAATGTTGGAGGGGGGGTTATGGAGTTATCCGAACCCCGAGCCATCTGAAAGCTGCCCTATACAGGGAAGTGGGGTTTTTTTTTAATGTATTATTATCTTTTTATATATGTTGGAAGCTGCCCAGTGTGTCTGGGGCAACCCAGTCAGATGGGCGGAGAATAATAATAATAATAATGGAATAAGATGTCCCTGTTTTCATTGGAGAAATGTTGGAGGGCACGCATGCAGCCCCTGACACATTGCCCTCAAGGAAATGTGGCCCTTGGCAGAGAAATCATTCCAGAGAAGAAGACATCACATGGCGCCAGAGGTGTAGTCTAGGGTCGTGGAGGGCCAAAGACCCATTAATTCGTTCCAGAGATCTGTTTGTAACCCAAAACCGTTCTTCACATGAGGCACACTTTTGCTAATGGCGCCTCCTGCCGCTGCCGCACCACCGGCGCACGACTTCTGCTCACATCCCGGGGCAAAGTTTGCAACCGGGAGCATCTACTTCCGGGTTAGCGGAGCTCGTAACCCGAAGCATTCGTAAGGTACGAGGTTCCACTGTAAAGCTCTACAAATTTGAGCCACCCCCCTCCCCCCCCCAAAAAGAAGCTCAGCAATTTTGGGAATATGGCAACCCTACTCTAGCAGGGACCCAATTGCATTCAGGAGAAATTGTGTTGCTAGCTCATTGCATCTCGCCTTTCCAAAATACTAGGGCCTCAGTAGGATTGGCTGCTCTATCCAGAACCGGCCCTCTCATTAGACAGAGTGAGGAAATTGCCTCAGGCAGCAGCTACCAGAGGCCAGCATCCCCACCC